CGTTCGGGGAAGGGAAGGGATCTTAGTATTTGAAGATACCAGACATATTCCAAATATTCACAAAACAATTGGAGTTTGTTTAGTTACGAGATCCCATTAATATCCTGTGGTATGACACCCCTTTAAGTGAAGTTGAAATAACAAATAATCGTATTTCAATACATACTACTTATGACAAATCCGTATTTTCAATCCTTAAGTAATACAAAAAGTATGAAAATGCGGAACTATGGAAAGCAGAGTTCAGGAAAAAATCTTAAACAGTTTTGTGAAACTGAACGTGGTATGTGTGGAACTGAGACTGAAAAAGTATGTATAGTTCCATTTAAAAAAAGAAGATACCTCAAATATATCGTAAAATACAAATGATAAAATAGAAATGAATACACGTATCAATTAACCCATATTACAGTAAAAATATTGTATGTTTTTACTTTAATTGCTGAAAATTAACAGAAATGTATACTCGTAAAAGGATAACTTCAAATCAATCATCATTTCGATATGATTTATAAAACACATTGATCGAAATAAGAGTCCAGCGAAATGATTATTTCTGATGATAAACATATAAGGAATAATTATTATTTCTGACAATACTTGTTCCATGATTCCACACTGTTGAGCGAAAACTGCATTTCGATATTGTGAATCGTTTAGGGCAGGGTTGTTCAACTGGCATGCGACCTTCGGTATTCTTTATATTGGCCCATGAAAGGTTATTAGTCGAAAGTGAAAATCACGGGCTCCCATGTCGGGCGAGGACATTGTGCGCCTAGCCGCTCTCCCGGGGTTTGTCCCTTAATGCAAAAGCAAGTTAAGTTTAGATTTGAGAGGTTTTTTTTCTAGTAAATTCAAAAGATCAAAATCATCTTTATTTGTTTCACTGCGTTACGCGTGGTACGGCCTGATATTACATGTAGTTCCATTCGCTATAATAATGAAAATAAAGTTCGCAACCAAATTAAAGGTTTTAATTGAGACCCATGAGGCCTTGCAAGTTGGACACCCCTGGTTTAGAAGATATAAGGGTGGCCCACAGTTGGCGGGTCACCCAGTGTATTCAATCTGGCATGGGGTCTGACCACAAAATGTTACATAAAGAGCAGCCTTTACTGTGGAAATCTTTTACATTCATTGAAAGACATAAAACCAATGGTCGGTATATACTTACCGACCAACTAGAGCCAAACAAACATTAGCGCAATCCACGCGCTAAAACAGTCTCCTCCCACAGGCGCTTGCTGGGTGCACACAGAGAGATCCTCCGTGAGTCGCGGCAGGTGACAGCAGACAAACAGCGCCTGTGAACTCGCTCCGCAGTGCTAACACGGGGTCTGCGACCTCGCCGTTTCTCTGAGGGGGCGGCGCAGCGGCCCCGCCCCCGGCGCCGCCCCCCTGCTGCTCGGTGCGCTGTGGGCGCCTTGGCGGAAGGTAGACGGCCGGAGGCGGAGCCGCAGCCTCGCGCGCCTCTGGACGGGTGGTTTCGGGTGGCGCACGGGTTCTCTAACGTTTGGGATTCGCCGCACACGTTCGTAGGGCGGAATACAGCAGCACAGCGGAAATGATAAAGTATCCGTTCCAGTTAAGAATTTCAGCATCGTTGCTGCGCGAACAGGATATTTTGCGCCGACCCTCACTAAAAATAACTAACGTGAACGAATTATTTTTCGCAGACCAAAAATTACGACAGTGGTATTAAATCTTCTGCCGGCCTTGAACAATTCTTTTGCGCGAGTAACCAGGCCCTCATTTCTTTATGGATTACAAGTGTAGATGTAGGTAACCTTCTTAATTTCTGGGTTTAGAATACATGTCGATTGTTTTCCAAGAAAAATAACTTTATACATTTTTAATACATTTGCCTGCTTTTATTTTGAATCATTTTCCGAATACACGCTTGCAATAGCTCATCAACACCATTCACTCTGCAGCAGGTTGCCTGTCAGATTCGAGTCACGAACGGCGCGCAAACTTTCCTTCATCAATGCTCTCTCTTCTCTGACAAACACACTTACATGCACTCTACTGCATCTCGGACGACCAGTCAGGAGTTTATGTTAAAGCTTGTCCCAGATCGGGGGTGTTCCGCTGACGGAGATACCTGTTAGGGGAAAACCCTTCTAGTCAACGTGCGGGGAATGAATATTGCCACATGCCGGGGCATAACGTGTACTGCACTTTAATTTCTATATATTATAGATACCTATTTTTATAGACAGTTTATCCTTATAAAATGTTCAAAACTTCATAGAAATTTCACTTATTTTTGTATTGTACAACGTTTCGACGACGTTTTGTCACCATTCTCACGAACATTTTATAGAGATTTTCTTAAAATAATTAATATTATAAAAATGATTAATTATACATCGTTTAAAAATATCTTTAGTCGTACAAAAGAAAGAAAAAACAGTTAGTTTTAATTCTAATTTTTCTATAAACTATAGTGTTAGGAAATTGCATATAGTATATGCAATACAGAAAATTATTACCCACCTTATTTATTTGTGATGAATTATTTCCCGGGCCGTAATTTGTCATACTATTTGATTATGTTGCGTATAAATTAATTCGGATGAAGCTTTCTGTTCTATTACGTCAGAAAGAAGAACTGTTGGTAGAGATATAGTAGAATTTTGAGGGGTCAACGGAGGAGGAGGAGGATGAGGAGGAAGGTTGCGCGTATTGTCTGTGGAGTGGAAAAGGGAATTTGTTGTATGTACTACACTTATGGTACTGTTGACCTAAGGAGTTGACGCGCCCGGAATCAATACCCACTCGCTGGCAATCTATTTTTTTTCGCGGCACATTCACGCTCCTTAACGCTATTCGGGTGTGGCGTTTGAGAAGCCCCTGTTGGCGCGGTGGTGCGCTGGTGCGCTCAGGGCTGCGCAGTGCGCTGAGCGCGCCCCAGGTGCTCGTTGCTCGCGGAGGCCGCTCGGAGCGGGACGCTCGCCTCGCCAAATCCCTTCCGAGAAATCTCCCCCGCAGCCGAGGCGGACGCGAAATGAGTTTTGCGTGTTATTACAAGACGTCCTACAAATACACGTATTTTAACTCCTGTTGCTCTTTTCCCCGCAGTCTCAACTTACTGAAGACTTCTTGGAAGTTGGACCTCCCATTTCTCTACCTTTATATCCTTCATCATTTTTATATTTTACGACGACTCCCACGTCTTATTTTCTCCTTATCCTTACAATATTTTTCTACTCCTTTGTTGCCATCAATATTTTGTACCTTACTTTCTCTTTTACTTTTCTGTTGATTTTGGATATTCTATTTTGTGATAGTCTTCTGATATTCAGTCACACTTATCGCCTATCTAGTTATTTTTTCCAGTTATCTTATACGAATCAAATGGAGCGTTAACTCTTAATTTTAGTTAGAATTTAAGTTAGTTGAAGGTTTTCTCAAGATTCTGACAATATTCAGAGGCGGATCTAGAGACGAATTTTGGGGAGGGGGGTAAATTCAAAATGTTTTCGTCGAATATGTCACATTAACCTTTTTTGAAAATGTCGCAGGCTGCACTCAGCTTATGTTGCGATACGATTTTATTCGTTTTATTAATAATACGAAAATATTTTTGATTGAAAGTCTCATGACAAGTTAAAATTAATAGTAACTGAAAAAGTTTAGGGGGGGGATTTCTCTCATTTCCCTCCCCGTGGATCAACGCCTCCCTTATCAACTAATGCGTTTCTTAAAAACATTTTAAAGACTGAAATACCAGGCGGAAAATATATGGTGTCAAACTAGTTTGTTGACTCATTAATTATATGTATAAATTAGCATGAAATTTTTTAAGACAACTTCATTATTACCAAAATATCTATACAGCCTCAAGTAGAAGATGCACTGTGGTTAATCACATAATGATACATGCATGCATTGCATCTGTTTACAGTGGGATAACAAACTACAAAGAAACTCGGTGCAACAAAACTTCAAAGCACTCATTTCCTACCAAATTCTACACTACCAATAATCAGCACAAAATCTTGTAAATAGGGAAATAACAAATGGATGTGCCAGGAATTACGAAACTCCAAAGAAACGCCACATTCTTTCCAGGTTATTATTTTCAAAAAGATACCGCGACGAACTTTCATAACTCATCAAAATACCCCGACGGCCCTTTCGCTTGTAAGTGTGTAATTGTGCTCAGTGTGCATCGCTTTAGTTGACTGTGAACGCAGTAGAAGTCAGTGAGTGTTCAGTTGTGCTGCGCTGTGCTGCGCTGTGCTGGCGCGGCGTGCCTCCGCTCGGTGTGGTGTGCTTCTCGATGTTGGGGACGGGGTGCCCGGCCGCCCGCGCTGCCTGCAAGTGGCCCCCTGAAGGCAGCTGCACGGCTGCCCGCAAACGACAGCGCGACGGCGGGAACGGAAATGAGAACGAGAACGAGCTGCACTCGACGGGAGTCTCCATTCAATTCACTTCGCTATCGGCTTCTTCGTCTTGCATTCGAAGCTTACTTCCGAGTTGAGGCAAAACATTGATTTAGTTAGAGAACGAAATGGAAATACATTGAGGAATGTAAACAATTCTTAATTCAAAGCAAAATTTACATTTTTCGAAATTTACCTTATTTACACTATAAAATATATACAAATTTGAACTTATATACAGAGTCTAACATTACAATTTTGTAATAATTTTGTTTATTGCATTCGGTTAATATAGAGTATGGTGTAGGAAGATGATATTGATTTTTCACATACAACTACTCAACATGTAATTATTGCCATTATAGAACAAATACTCAAAACCAGCTTAATGAGAGCGAATCAGACTCTTTTAACATTTTCAAAACTATTTTCGTATTCATTAATTTGAGGTTATTAATTAAATGAAAATATAGGATAAAAAGTGTTGTCAGATCAGAGAACCGAAACGCATAGAATGACATCTCACTAGTTCCCCGCCGAGAACCGAAAGGGATCTCCCCGTCAGGGACGGATGCTCAGACACACGTAGGTTACCCGGTAACCAAGTCTATGAAAAGCACTCCGAAGCTTTCTTCGGCACTCGTACAAAGCAGCGACTGCCCGTCGAGGCGCACTCCCAAACCGGGCGTTCTCGTTCCCGCCGCTGCCGGGCGTGGCCGTGCAGGCTGTCGGCGCGGGGAGCCGCCGCGGCGGCGCGCGCGGCCGGGCGGACCCGGTGTGAGTGTTGGTATGCGGCGGGCGCCGCGTTTGTCCCAGGAGCTGGTGTCCAGCAACCCGAACCAGCGCAACTGGCGCGGCATCATGATCGCGCTGCTGGTGATCGTGGCGGTGCTGGCGCTCATCGTCACCTCGGTGGTGCTGCTGACGCCGCCCGACGAGGGCCCGCGCGTGCGCGGCCGGCGCTTTCGCCTCGGCGACATCCTCGGGCCCGAGCTGGCCGCGCTGCGCTTCAACGGCTCCTGGGTGTCGGGTGAGTCACCGCCGCCCTCCCTCTGTCTCTGCCCCCGACTCACCCCCTGTGTCTCTCTCTGTCACCCCCTGTGTCTCTCTCTGTCACCCCCTGTGTCTCTCTCTGTCAGCCCCTGTGTCTCTCTCCCTGTCTCTCCGTCCGTATATCTTTCCCTGTCTCTCCCTCTCTCCTCTCTCTCTCTCTGTCTCTCTCTGTCTCTCTCTCTTTCTCTCTCTGTCTCTCTCTCTCTCTCTGCCTGTTTTTCCGTTTTTTGTCTGTCTGTGCCACTCTCTGTTTTTGTCTTTCTGTCTGCCTGTCTCTCTCTCGACTTTAACCAATGTAAGAAAATTCTAGTGGCCGGCTGCTTCTGGTACAGCGTTTTCAAAGCTCTAATACGATCTGCGATAGCTCAGTGGGGCATCGTTGTGGGGCGCTTGCTTCTGCGGCATTGTTGACCCGCAGGTCAGATTTCTAATCAGAATAAATTTTAGCATCAATTTTTTTTTAATGAAAGCGTGTTTTGAGTGTGTACACTAAATCCCGTTGACCGCGTCGGAACGTTTTCTCTGTACGTCTTAAGCTGAATAAAACATTGCAGTAATATTATGTTTAAAATCTAACATGCTCGATACATATTGCATAAACGCAACTGACTGACAGTTGTATGTTGTAGGGCCAGTATTACCACCTTCAGCTAAAGTTCGGTTAGAGTTATGAGGAAGTTTGCAATCGTTGACTCGTGCTTAGAGTGGGAGGTTTATCGGAAGATAGTTATTTGGAGAATGAAGTAAGGAGTATTGCTTTTCTTGTTGGTTAGCTGGCAGATTAATTTCCGAAATAGCAGCCCATGTAATATAGTATGCCAAAAAAGGTACTAAGGATCAAATTATCTTTGTATATTTCCACAAATCAAATGACCTAACTGTCTGCGGCAACATTGAAATACTTTTCAAATCTCGATATGCCATGAATTCTTGGTATGCAATTCTCTTTTGTCCCTCACATCGGTTTATTTCAATAGAGCAATTCGAATTAAGGTAAGTTACATTTTTCACTTGCTAGTACAATTAATCAGTGATGAGCTTGAATAAAAATGCATGTTATGTAGTTTCCAACCATAGCCATTAGCCTTTTTGAATTCTCTTTCATAAAATAAAATGTTTCAATTTCTCCCTAGTAAGATATTCACATTGGAAAGGACAATAGTTTTCTATTGAATATAGAAGTAAAAGTAAGAATAAACAAATAAATGATGTCTCACAACCATTGGATTCCACAATTTTCATCATCGCCTTCCACGATCTCTCATCGAAGTGGTTTGCTGAAGATAACATGTTTTTATTAGCCATAAGATAACTCGGAATTAGCAAACAGGCGGTCTTGACGGAAGGTGTAATGCAGGCCCATAGGCTTCTACTGCCCATCTTTCAGTTTTAAAAAGTGAAGCGCTTCCAGCGAGAGGGACAGTACAGCCCTCTGTCCAACTTGCAGAATCTTTCCCGTTAACCGCAGAAGTTCAAACGAAGCCTTTTGCTGTCTAGCATACTGTCGGCCAGATAGTTCTCCTGTACAGCGCTTTAGTTAGCGTGTTCTCCTGATATTTTCGTAGTGTTCGTATTTCGACAGAATGACTCTCTCTTTCCATTGTTTGTCTTGTTTTGAAGTGGCAATTGATCTTGAATGTCGGGTAAGAACCATTCATCTTGCATGGCGAGTGATACAGAAATTTCAACGGCCCATTAATGTCGCGTGAGTTTCAACAATTTTTTACTCGCCCATGTATACTAATAATTCATAAATCCCTTTATGGGAGCCAGAGATATGTGTTTACTGCTTTTAAGTTATCGACACCTTTACTTTATGCACAAAATGTTTAGAAATAAAACTATAAACTTTACTCTTCTTGAAAGTAAATAAAATGATCTTAATGGTAAAGAATGTACAATAATATTGATTGGAAGTTGAACGAGTTGTCAGAGAGAATGTATCATGGAGTTTTAACTTTTAATATAAGAAGAGAGAAATTATTCAAACCATACGAATAAAATTCTAAAAAAAAAATTTTAAATAATGTGGTAAAATCATTTCCTAAACCAGCTCCCGGAAAATTGTCATTAGCGCGTATAAAATCAAATTCTCTGGTATATCCATGTTCCGACTTCATACTGAAGCCGGAGTTCAGTTTTCCCTTTCTGATAACCAGAAGTTAATTTTCAAAAATACATTTATTCGGTAGTAATAATAATACAATTAATAATTGAATAAATACTATAAATGGTTGACAACTTGATTAACAACTAATGTATCAATCGAAGTTGGTATAAGCCCATGTCCTGGTTATGTATTTAAAGCATGTTCAATGCCACAGGATTTTAAGGCAAACTCCTGTAACTGCCAATTTGCAACATACCAACAATTACGCAGTTAAAGTAATAGTCAGTAAAGTTTAATTACAGATGTTTAAATTAAATAAAACCGTAGTTTTTTTCTACTGTATATCTTTCACTACTGGCTATCAAGTGGGTCTGACAGCAAGAAACCAAAACAATAATTTATATTCAGTCGCCAGTCAGCCAGCCGCCCGGAACACTTCGCCCGAGACCTGCCAACTGAAGATGCCACCGCCAGTCGTGGCGAAACGGTTTGGCATCCCAAAGCCAATTGACCACGGCCCATCGCCGAAGAACATGATGAATAATAATTATATTCCATTGAACAAATTTTGTCTGGGATTCAATTCTTCAAATACTGAAAAAACCATGTTTTAATTTTTTGGATTATATCATATTGAAATAAACACTTCAATGTCTGGGATAATTCAGTGGATAAGTTTATTATGAACTTTATGTTTTTAATTATTTAAGTGAAAATTGATTCACATCGGTACATAACTTCTAGCACTTTCCACACCCTTTCTGGTAATTCACGATATGGGATGAGAGAATCTTCCAGATATACAATAGAATTGTAAGGTTTTAATGTTCTAAGTTGGTTTTAAAGTTCTAGATGCACAGTTTTCGAGTGTGTTGCGGGTTGCTTGAGCACCCGAACTCCTGTCTTTGCCATAGCCTGTGAACATCTGTTTTTCGTCTTAAATATCTTTAATCACGACTGGAGGGATAATTCCTTGTCAATCAGTAGTACTTGTAGTATTTTGTGTAACCAGTATCTTATAAATTGAACAAATTATCATTTTCCTTAGCGCTCTGTATTATGCCATCGAAGAATGATTGTAATTAACAAGTTCTCACGCAGATTTAAATGTTTTCATGGCTTCATTTGTGACACAATATCACCATCCGAGGGTTTCCCTCTCGACTGAATTGTGCTTAAATGGTGGGAGTGTTTTTGGAATTTTCCGGTTATATCTCGTAAAGGACTCCCGATATTAAAAACGTTTCCCAATTAAAAGTTGTAGGACATTAAATTCTACATTGAATGAGATAAGACATATTTTGAGCACGTGTTTCAATAGTAGTGCTCAACAAAAATGGACATTTTTACATATTATGAAACATTTTCGTTTCAACTACTACTTTTTGGTAATATCATCTAAAATAACTCATTTTTTCAATAAAGTGACCCATACAGGGGGAAGTATACAGATTATAGAGGAATAAATTCACCGTTTCATAAGAAAAAAATTTATTTTTTGGGACCACCCGTTTCCGTACAGCTCTACCTTAAGTTCAGACTATTTCTAATTATCAATGAAGACTGTTTAAACTGCAGTTCGTCAAGGAACGTTTTTACACTATATTGAACACAGTAGTATAGAAATACGTATACAGGCCCATTAACACAAACTAAAATGCGAAATCAAAGTACAGATCCAGGAAAATGTGTCTTTGGATATAGGACAATTGTTAACTTAAACAATTTACCTGCAATAGTGCTAGCGACCCTTCCTAGAAGCTCGCGAGTTATACGTTATAGAGTCCTTAAGATCGCATGAGTGATGTGCAGTGAAGCGCAGTAACGTTTTTCAGGATAAGGAAAGACCATCAAAAGTGCGTGCAAAGTGTGATGCATTATTTTCCATTAATACATAAATTATTGAACCATGCAGTGTAGCCAAGTACGTAAAGATAGGTAGGAGGTAAAGTACGGTAATTAAGTAAAAACGGTAGTAGAAGACATGAGTACTTTTAATCTACTTTTTATAATTGTTTATTTGTGTTTTTATTTTATTTTTGTTTCTTTTTTGTATTATTTATTCTTTCAATATTTGTTTGTTTCTTTGAATTTTTATTTAGCACGTTTTTGATTAACTGACATCGAGCGCACGCTCATTTTCAGTACATTATATTTCGTCATTATTATTATTATTATTATTATTATTATTATTAAAATATAAAGAAGAGTTTCAACACAACAAAGAATTGTACGTTTTCTCAAAATGACCCATCGATCAAAAATGCAACACTTCAAGGAATCAATCCTTTATAAATATTTCTTGATATTTGCGGGCTGAAGTATTAGGGCATTCAATCATCTCTCTTAATTTCTATATTGCATGGTATCTGAAATTATATGCATCCTCTTCTTTATATCACGTGAAATTATTCAATTGCTGAATATACGCATAAAGATTACGAATTGGACAATTTGATTATCATTTGCGTAAGAGCAGAACGAGATAGGAAAGGAATGAGACGCAGTACAATAGAGATGCAAATGCAACGAGCGCGAGTCACAAGTCTGGAAGAGTCTGCATTTACGTGAAGAGACGTTTACTTCCAGAGAGATGTAAACTCCGAAATTCCATTGTTACACATACTTAAGTGCTCCGCCAAGAGTTGTCGTGCTTTATTTTTCAGCTACCCTTTTGCTCTTTCATGAAGTATTTCTAATGATATGATTAAATTGGAAAGATTTCTTAAGATCACTTGAAAACTTTCTTGTTCTAACGGTTTCTTTTCTTTATTAGTAATATATGTGTTTCTGTCAATATATCCGTCGTGAAATTTACATTTTTAGTATATAACTATTATTGAAATGAGCAAAAGGATGCACTAATG